GATGGCCCTTGTGGTCTCTTCCAACTCTATGATTCTATAATTCTATCTGTGGCTCTGCCATTGCTTTTAATGAATGGGAAAATCCAGTTAATAACTGTCAAGTGTACTTTACTTAGTTAATCTCAGATAGCTGATGAGTAAACAGAACGGTAGTGGGATAAGATGCATCAGCAACCTGTTATCAATTTGCAATTGCATGGTAGTGTGAAAAGAATCATTGCCATTTGGGATGTTTAAAAAGCTGCAACAGCATCGGGAGGGAAGCTTGGTGCGATAATCACAATATTTAACCCTCGTCATATTCCTTACCAACCTGTGTTAAATAACCAGGAAAGAGATTTAATTTTAAAAATGGACTGTTAATGTCTAGACTCATAATTCTGGGGTGATTCTGCAGAAAATTAGCTAGAAGTTCCATAGTCAGAATAAGAAGTGGAAGAAGGCAGCCCTGTTTTGTCCCTCTAGAAACAGAAATAGGTTCCAAGTGTACTCCATTAGTTTTTAATCACTGCATTGTGCGCAGTGTAATAATTTATGGTAGGAAATTGTGGTTTTTATTGTATTCTAAGTTTTTAGGTGCCTTGAACAATCAAGAGGGGAGGAAGAAATTAACTCAATAGAGGTTGGTGCCTCCATGACCGAGAAGAAAAGAGGAGTCCCAGATGAACTTTCTCCACTTTCTGCTCTGAAAATCACATCGATTGTTGCTTTTCCAATCTAGGATGCTTGCCTCCTGGGACTGTTATCTTTATGACTAGAATCATAGAATCCCAGAGTTGGAAGAGACCTAAAGGGCCATCCAACCCAACCCCATTCTGCCATGCAAGAACACACAGTATCTGTTTAGCAGCCTCTGTTTAAAAATCTCCAAAGAAGGAGACTCCGCCACTCTCCAAGGCATCATTCCCAAACTTATACCTGAGTTTAAGACTAAACATATCCCTGATGGCCCGTGAAGTTTTATTTCGTGTTTTTTAGAAAATTCTACCTGCCTCCAGCAAAATTAAAGTGGATGAGCTTTCGACTTACCCGCCCTCAGACTAGAGCTAGTGCGTTCATGCTTTCTTCCAGTTCCACAAAACCAGTAAAAAGGTGCTGAATAGCAGTGTGGCATTTCTGATTTTTCACCAAGCACCGAAGGAGCTCATGCAAAAGAGTTCCTGGATTTCATGGCCCATTTCCTTCATGTTCAAGGGCACAGAGGATGCCTTTAACAGAAGACTCCCCAAACCTTGGAATTGGAGCTGATGTGGCTACAGATATCAAAGAGTACAAGCATTTACCTGTCCACCTGTCTGCTTTTTTGGCAGTCCTGCAGCAGACGCACTTGCTTTATCTGTCACTTTCTCTCCTTTCAGTGCCCGGTTTTAAAAAGCTGGATAATTCAACCGAAACCGCTGTGTGTACAGAGAAACTAAGCCAGTGTTGCGGCTGCCAAACTTGTTCTGAGTCCTATTTTATGACAGAGGGAGGGGAAGGAAATGAAAACAGAAGTGGCACCAGGAAGGTTTGCCATCCCAGGTGATGCCAAGTCAGACTTCAGGGAGGTGGGATTTATTCTCAGGCCACTTCATGATCCTGGCAGCTTCTGTACGGTGCAGGATGAAAGTAGAAATTACTGTTGTCTCGAGTAAAGGTCAGCTCTTACTGCTCAGGAAACAACTCACCAAAGCAATAAAAAATATAAACACTAGTCATGTGGCTCTTTTAAAACATAGTGGTATAAATCACATGGCATAGAGGTTTGGGTGTTGGACTATGACTCTGAAGGCTGGGGTTCGATTCCCAGTTTGGCCATGAACCCACTGGGTGACCTTGGGTAAGTCACACTCTCTCAGCCTCAGGGGAAGGCAATGGCAGACCTCCTCTAACAAATCTTGCCAAGAAATCCCCACAATAGGGTCGCCTTAGGGTCGCCATGAGACAGAAAGGATTTTTGAAGGCACACAGCCACAAAGGTATACATTGCAGGCCTAAAACCAACACCAAACACATAGAGAGAAAAGATGAGATCGAGTGAAAATTTTGTTTTAAAATCTGGTCTTAATGACTTTCAAGGGAAAAGATCATGCAACCCAAAATGATCTGGAGCAAGACAAACTTTTTAAAATAACTGAATGATATACCCAACGACATTTCGCAGATGAAAACTGGGGTGCATGTGACCAAGCTAGATCAGAATATGGTCGAGATGGCAAAAGTTATTAATGAAAAAGAAAGCAAAAACTAGGAGAGTCTGCAGAAGTTTGCTTTTGCTTGAACCTTTTGGGAAGGACAAGATTCCACCCCCTTCTTCCCTCCTGAGTTAATTCAGTGCAAATTACTTTTACATTTTGAATTCAGTTTCCGAAACTGAAGTAAGCTGAAGACAAAGTGGAGAAGTGGAAGGAGGAAAGAGAAACTGACATTTTAAAAAATAGATAAAAAAGTGGGATGAAAGAGGATTAATTGGGACAATCCCTGCCAAATTAAGACACTTGAAGGGTATGCCCTTTTTGGACAGAGTGACTAGATGTCTTCACCGCAAAGCAGGACAAGGCACCACAAAACATAGGACCTTCCAGAAAAATGTGGAACATTACCAAATAAAAACTCATAGAAATATAAATTCATGCTTCTAAATCAGGCTCCAAATGGAGGACATTTTGAAGGATGAAATGTAGGATGTGTCCTGGAAAAGGAGGATATCTGGTCAACCTGTTTTGAGGGCATTTTGGTTTTTAATTTTTAATATCCCTCCCTTACGAGCTTCATTTCTGTTTATCAATGCCTTTAACAACAGGCTGACATATAGAAACATAAGCAGATGATGATGCATTA